CATGCTTCCTCTAATTGACATTGAGCCACCTGCTGCTTCTTCTCATGAGGCACAAAGAGGTTCTCACTGCCCCCTTATTGCTTTGACATCCCTGAAACATGGGGGTCTTGGGCTGCATTAAACTGCTGATTATTGACTTCATCCATCAGTTTATCATCCAAGGTGATGTCAAAGCTAAAGATATTAAGTTTGCTATAAAGACAACGGAAATAATTTGTGAAGTTCAAAAGCTGTACTGGCAATTTTTTTGATTGATAAACGACTTGTGGATACACCTTAACGCTTAACGTTGCTTACTTCTGTAACCTATAGTGACGTCACTATATAACACTCACACTTCCATTGGCCAACATTTTTTACAATATTGGCGAAGGGAGGGACATCTCTAAATTGTTGACCAATCACAACAGTGCCGGCCAGCTAACCAATCAGAGCAGACTGAGCTCTGGTTTCAGACAGAGGGTGAAAAGAGGTCCTGCAGCACAGGCAGTATGAGAAAAATAAAGAGCTTTTTGAACATTAAAGCATGGAGACATGTCACAGGAGACGCACAAAATACAAATATGAACCTGAAAATTAGCTCAATATGTCCTCTTTAAAGACATCGAATTCCATTTAATTTTTAACAGTTAAAACAGCATCTTAGGTAAACCATTTTGCGTGTTGTTCTCACACAAAAGACGCTGTGTAACATCATGTTCTAACATTGACAATATTTGTTTAGCTTTGAGTATAAAATAAATTACTACAACAGGAAATGATTCAAGGCGTGAGCCACGAGCTGTCAATCAAGCAGTGACTTTGAAACGCTGGTGCCAATTTCAGATTTGAATACGCCACAAATAGCCTCTAAAATATATATCAGAGAGAATTAACAATACACCAGTCCACAATGAAACACTTTTCATTTCAGCTTTAATGTGGAACAACAGCGTCCATCAACACCACTGTGTAAGTGTTTTTTCAATTAGTCAGTTTCTGCACTACAGATACACAATATATTCAGAAGCTGGAATACCGGTTGTTTTCTAATTTCTTTATTATCATGAAACTGCTGCTGTAGGTTTCTTAGTATGGTTTATAAGGCAGGTGTAGAGTTGGGCAGAAAATGTAAGCTGCTATTTGCGTTGCCATGCTTTTGAGTTTTAATGATAAACAATGCAGTCAGCCTCCTCCCTGCTGGCACTGTTAAACTAGTCCAAACTGCAGAGGAGTGAAATAAAACCTGCTGTAAAACCAGTGGAAATTTGGCACAGATAGATTTGCCAAACCCCTCCGCCGGCCTCACAGGGCTGCAGCCGTGAGACCTGAATGTGGAGTATTGTTGTTTTACTGTTGACTAATTACTCTGGGTCTTCCGGGGGGCGGGGGGGATGGGAAAACAGGAACGTGTTGGTGCTCTACCTGTAACTGTGTGTGAGTTCATCTCACAACATTGGCTGCAAAGACCTAATGGTTAAATACTTTTCTTTAACAGTAACCCCCACTGCCCTTGCACTTAACAACGTGTTTGTGCTTTTGCTACGTGTCATCTATTAAAGTCAACTTTTTTACAAGGTTCTTTTTAATCCATGGAATTAAAAAAAGAAATCTAAATGGTCCGTCCCTATTCGTCTGTATCCAAAACAAGTGAAACCTTGAAAGCATTTAGCCCGACTGACATGTTATTCATGATATTCATAGTCCCCAGAGGATGAATCACAATGTTTTTGATGACCCCTTGACCTTTCCCGAAGTGTCAACAGCAGGTTCAAATGTCTGCTTGCACATAAGATATTTCTATCTATCTTTTGTCATTCTAAGACCCTGTTGATTATGAAGACCCCTGTGCAACACAATGTTCTAAAATTCTAAGTTTCAGGTTTTTTTCAGTTTTGCCTAAAATGTTTTTGGACAGGAGTTATTTGTTCAGGGAAAGTTTATCCGTGCCGTCCACTCACTGCTTTGTAATTTTCTTCACAGACGTCATAGGGAGGGCTGGGGTTGATGATACAGAGTCCAGAGCTTTGGCAATGGAAACATTTTGGTTAGGGAAATATCAAGTTTTGGTAAAAAGTAAACACATCAAGTCTCTTGTTGAGCCACAATCAAACATTTTTTCCAAAACCATAACCAACGATTTGAGTTTCCTAAACAAAATCTTGAGAAAGTTAAACATGGTTGAGTTCCTAAGTGGATATTGTAGGGAAAACAAATGTTTTGAAGATAACATCAGTTGAAACATAACGCAACTTTGCAGGTGGTTGTGTTATATTATATTTTAGAAGACAGGGTTGCCATGTGACTTTATCTATTGATCTATTCTGCAAAAATGTGTTTACCATTACAAATGAAACATTTAAAATGGCTAAATAATCAATTTCATGTCATGTTGTGAAGTGGAATAAACCCACTGGCAGCAAATATTGGTGCTTAGACTTTAGTTCAGTAGGTTCAAGTAGTCTACATTATGAAGAGTGTTTACCTAGAATGTGTTATGTCTAAAACAGGCTTGTAAAAGGAACATGGTGCAGCTGTTAATATGAGAAATAAATGTGAAAAGAGATGCCATTGTTGGAGTTGTGTGCTTTGTCATGCTGAATTGCATTTAACTCTGCCACTCTGTTTTGTAGGAGCAGAGTTGACTGTGTGAAGCTGAAACACTAGCGCTCATACTGAATGGCCTATGAAATATGAAGCGGTGTAGTTCACTGTCAGCCGTGTTTACATTAGTGGTTTCCTAGCCTACAGAGGAAACAGCCAGTGAGTCACACTTGCATGCTGACAGACTGGAGGCGTTATGTAAAGTCTCGAGAATTCAGGTGTGAGTGCACTGAGCTCGTATAGCTGCGAGGGGAAGTGCAGGACGGGTGAAACGTAAAAAACTCCGAAGGTGATTAAATATAAGGGAAGTGAAACCAGAGTAATTACTAGAAGGAATTTGTTCTGGTGTCATTCTCTGCAGTGGTAGGAAAAAACGTAATAAATGTACTCAAGCATTGTTGTTTGAGGTAGTTTAATTCAGTATTTTATTTTTATTTCTGCCACTTAATTCTTCTTCTCTGCTTAATTTAAAGGGAAATACAGTAATTTTTTACTTCACTTTACAAGTATTTCACATATTTACCTAAATGCATAAAACACAAAAGTGTGTATGTGATATTTTGTCATGAAGTAAACTAGCTTGCAGTTCACACAAGAAAAAGCTAGGTCGATTCATAAACTAGAGATAATTATAAGTAATTTTGTAATTATTCTGAATATTTGTGAGTTTTTTGTGTGTTTAAGGCATCCGAATACTTCTTACAACACTGTTTCTCTGTGTTACAATAACAGCTTATCACCAGCATCTCTACCACACTAGAGAATGAACTTCAAAGCCATGATGATATTAAAGGCATTTTTTCTGGTTGATTGTTGTTGTGTTATGACCATGCACATTATGCACATTGCAGTGTAGTCATAAATATGACAGACATATTTGTATAATTACTTTGAGGGTTTTCCCCTTGACGAGATGCTGAATTCAGGGCCGTAGTGACAAAAGAAGACACTGAGATCATGTTGCTACAGGCTGAACAAAGGGGGCCTTCAGGGGGGGGTTTCCTCCCCAGATACTGCTGTATCCCACAGGATAATGTGGTTTAAATCCTGCTGCTCACCTCCTCAGATACACAACCTCAGAGATACTTTTCCCTTCCAGTGGTGTAATGTTATGACTGCCTATATTTCTTATGGGAAACAGATTTAACTTAATCATTTATCGCTTTTGTCTCATGAACCTGGTCTAAGCCTTTTAGCTGTTCTCTCAAACCATGGGGATGAAATCACAAGGGCTTGTCTGAGAACCAGACCATTTGTAATCCTGACAGTGGTGGTAGCACAACTCGGATCTTAAAATAAGTATTAGCAAATGTATTTTACTAAAACTGCTTATTATACTGTATTAATGGATCATTATTATGTATTTATGAATGTGTTAATTGCTTTAATGTGGCTTATTTGAGAGGTTGGTGCTAGTGTGTGTCATATACTGTTGTGTTGTTAAGTCAGAAAATAATAGATCCTTATTCATGTCTTGATTTTAATTTGTAATCATAATCTTTTTCCGCAAATCTCTCTGTCAAAAGTAAAAAGTAGCATTTTCCCTCCAAAATGTAGTAATATAGACATACTCAAGTACAACTAACTGAACATAAGGTACGGAGTAACACTTTCTTTTCAAAACGTATCCTACCTACTTTCAATGAAAACATTGTTTATGAGAGTTTTGGGATTGACATCAGTGGGAAAGCAGGATGTATTTAAATAAAAATGGATACTGCCACCTGCTGGTGTAAGAACAGAGACACACAGCATGTAATTGATAGGTAAAGAAGCTAAAGGTTACTGTCTGTATACGTCTGAGTGGGCCCTGACAAGGATGCATTCAAAACAATATTGATTAGTTTACAGTAGTTATTCCTTTGGGGGAACCTTGCATACATCATGTAAGATATGCCAAGACATGGTTTATATATACAGTTCCTCCTTTTTTCAAGAAAATATATATGTACATCAAACAGTACACACAACACATTGAAATCAGGGGTACATAGGTGCACATACAGTGTAAAACTGTAAAATAATATAAAGTCAGAAAGAAAGAAATACAAAGTGAATAGTGATAAAAACAAAAAGGTAACAGTTTAAGTAACATATTTATCAAATACACTTGGCTCTGATTGCCTTCTTATCGTTACTCATTTTTAAAGTGGTGCAATATTGTTGTAATTAAGTTTAAAAATAGATAACATAAATATATTTATTCAGGCAATATTTGTACAAACTGAAAATAAGTGCTGCTTAATTTGTTAATTTAGAAATGTTTGACATCGATGTATTTACTTCCATCCGCTATGTATTTTAATTATATTTTCGATTATATACACTTCCTTAAAAAAAAGAAATGATTCAGGCAACATTTAGACATACTTTCACGTAAAATACATGAGACGCTACCATGTTAAGGCCCCACCCTCCCTCTTACGTGTTATTCAGTCGCCCGGTAGCTGTGTTTCGGGTCAGGTCGGAGGGTCTTTGGAGGACAGTTTATTCATCATGGCCCTGAGGGTGATCCGACAGATCGTCCCATCGGGAGCAGCTGCTCTTAGAGCTGCACACATCTCCCAGAAGGTGAGGGCAGAAACACAGAAACTCTGATTTCTCCTTATTCCCCTGTCAAGTTCACAAGGGCAAGCTAACTAGACTAGGATGCTAACTAGCTGCTAGCATAACAGTCGCTCGTCAACAGGCTTTCTGCTGGTTTGTTATTGAAATGATATTGTTTGGAGTTCAGAGCAAAGACAATAAGCTGTTAAGGGGACTGCATATGAGTACTTGTTAAATTATCTTTTATTGATGCTTTCATGGTGTTCAATCTGCTGTTTGGTTAGGCTACTGCCAACTAACTCTGTAGCATTCTGGGGTTTTGACAGATCCATTACATTTAGCTCAGGCTTTATCCAAAGCGACATGTGTGCAATAAATCATAACTATTCAAATGAAGGACAACTGCCTTTTCCTGCTATACACTTGTTCTATAATATCTAAAAGTATGAATATTTAAATACATTTATGAATGTAGGGCAACATAAAGAAGGAGCTGTTGGAGGCATGTGGTTACCCAGATGTTACAGCTGTTCTTGTGTATTTCTTGTATGACATGTTGCATAATGTGTTGTGATTTTACAGCTGCCTGTTCTCTCTTGTGAATTGATCTCAATGAGACTTCCTGCTAAAATACATTAAAAAAAAGAAGCTACCCATGGTTGATGAGGCCAAATGTCGTTTTAACCAAATATTTTACCAGTTAAAGTTCTCATTAGCCTTATCACCTCAACACTGGTGATTGGTCTTTAATTGTTTGGGCCTTTGACCTTAACTTAAGACACTCCTTGGGTTATATCTAGTTTTAAATCCTGTAATATGCCAGTTGAAATCATATTTCATATTCTCCAACAAATGTAAGTTTACGTTTTCACAAATTAGTTAATTGTGCAAAGTAGTGTAAATTAGGAAACATCCTTGGTTGTTTTTTTGGACCCAGGCAACATTTGATGCAGGGAATCTCTGTGAAATAATCTGGATCTGGTCAGTGTTAACCGCAAATGATCAACTACAATGTTTTTTTTCTCTGTCATCCAGGCTGGTGTTCACACGAGCTCAGCGAGGAGCCTACAGTACGGCTGGCTGACTTACTTTATGGGCGAGAGGACGATGCCACGGTTAACGTCGACCAGCAAAATCATCACCTTGGATGGAAACCTGGCCTCAGGGAAAGGAGCTCTGGCCTCCAAGCTGGCTGACAAACTGGGTATTTACCTCACTGTTAGGATCAACTTTTAGATCAGTGATTCCCTTTTAGGGTTAGAGTCATACAGGAGACCGAGAAGGCATTTACAGGCTAAACCTTTTCTCAATCAGGGGGCTACATTTGCTGAAAACTTACTGTGATGATGCTTGCCTACCAGGAATTTGATATATCTTTGATAATCTGATATTGATCCTATCAGTCAGCCAATTTATTTATTCATAGGCTTTCCTATATGCTAGGGATGCCAGCGATTATTCGATTTTTCGAAAATTTGTTACAGTCTCCATAATCGAAAATTATTTTGAAAATTCGATTTTATTTATATATATTTTTTATTATTATTTATGTTTTTCTTTTTTTTCCTGGCTTAGTTTCAACCAAAATATAGACTAATAGTAATAGTATTAATAATAATAATTATAAATGGCCGTTGGTCACACCACCAGTTTGTTTTACTGTAAACTTGGAGGAAGCCAGCAGCGCAGGCTGCGCAGAGTGCAGACTGCTGCTG